GACGCGGGGCTCGAACTCACGGACCGCGAGATCGTGACCTGGCTGAGGTCGGACGCTTAACCGACTGCGCCACCCAGGCGCCCCGTCAATTACTTGCATCTTGATGCTGAAGTTCACATTTCTTTTACTTTCCCAGAAGTTGCCTGTTCTTTTATATCCACGGCATATCTGAAAAAGCCAGGATTCTACAGTCAACTGGCAATGTGGGATTGATCTGGAAATGTGCCTCTTTGCTTTAGAAATCACTGCATCCTATAGTAACCCATTTTTTAAAGTTCCTATTTTGGAATGACTTTAGGTTTAGAGAAAAGTTGCGAGGATAATGTTAACATACAGCTAAAATGTACACTACAAATGTGCATACGGCATCAGAGTTTTTAAAGCTTTATTTTATCCTACTTGGTCCTGACCTGTGCTCACTTTAGTCATGTTGAAAGCAGAACAGACACTTTCATCCCCTTTCAGTAGGAGACTGAGACTCAATTAAAAAAAGTACATACACAAAACCGAGATTAGTGTTCTTCAATCCTGAGAGAAATCTTCTCATATGATTGTTAATTTGCTGCCAGGCTTCAGAACAATGACTAACCCAGACTCATGGTTTCCATATTGGTTTTGTGCTTGGCCTTAATGGTGGTTTTAGAAATGTGTAAAATATGGTCATTGCCCTTTCCTTTTTTAATATTTTATTTATTTTTATTTGAGAGAGAGAGAGGGAGAGAGAGCAAAGTGGGGATGCTGGGGTAGAGGGAGTGAGAGAGAGAATCTTAAGCAGATTCTCCATGCTCAGCGTGGAGTCAGATGCCAAGCTCGATCCCACGACCCTGGGATCATGACCTGAGCTGAAATCAAGAGTCTGACACTCAATCTACTGAGCCACCCAGGCACCCTGGTCGTTGCCCTCTCAAGGGACTCACAGTTTAATAAGTGTCTGTACATAGCCTGTGCACAAGGTACAAGGGAGGGAGAGGAAATGAAGCTCCCTACAACCAGACTGAAAAGCCAGGGTCACCACTGGCTTCAGCAACAGAAGCCTCCTGATTCCTAGTTTAGAGGCTTCCTCAACGATTCCCGTCATCCCCTTCTAAAAACGGAGAAAACTATTGCAAGCATTTTCTTTCTCTCACTTTGCATAGCACTTTATAGTATATAAGACACTCTAATGTTGTTATCTCATTGGTTGTCCTAAAACTCTGCGAGTTAGTGGGGGCAGGGCTTGATCTTAACTCTGAGAGAGTTGAGGTACCTGCGGCCCTGATGCAGGATCCGGGTTGGCGGGGCGGGCCGGGGTGGGGGGCGATGGTCGAGGTCATGCCATTCCTTCTGATACTACCTGGCCAACACCGCGCCCTTCCTATCACTGTCACCCCATCTCCGGTGCCATGCCATGGATGGAGGCCTTTATTTTTCTCTGTGTTTCCAGTGTTCTTTGTTTTTACAGACATCTGGAGGTAATCATGGAGCCCTCTCAATTAATTCAGTTCAATTAATAAATTACTGGGTGGATGTGGGGCTGCGAGTCGGCGCAGGGTGGCTTCCGGGCCTCCCTGTGCTGGAGAGCTGTTACAATCAGGCTTGGAGAGCCCTCCTTTTCAGCAAGATGTCCGGGAAGCTCAGCCCCAGCCTGCAGGCTCCCTGGAGGGGTGACTGGCTTACCCTGACAGACAAGACATCCTTTTTCTTTCCTCACATAGTGTATTGTAATCCCATCAGAACAGTACATTGGCTGGGCTGTCCCTCCCCTCCCCCCCACCAGCTAAGTTGTTCATAAATCTTCCCTATGATACTGGCTCAGCACAGCTCCTGATGCTTGGTCACATGGGGCTGACCTGTTCATTACAGGTGTTGAATATCCCTAGTGTCTTGCTACTAAGCGCCGGTACGGTCCCAGGCATTATGGCCAACAAAGTCCCCCTCCCCCCGATTTGCAAGTGCCCCCTTGGTGGGGAGCAGGACGGTTCCTCTAAGAGGGATCACTTGAAAGTATCCGGACATGCCCTGGTTATGCCCTTGTTTCAAGAATAAACTTTGGGTGCCTCTTTAATGCTGACCTAATACATTCAGGCTCCCCGGGCTAGGGTGCAAAGCTGTCTGGGCATTGGTTGCATCCCATGTTTTAGTTGTTTGCTCTCTGCTTTTCCTTATTCCCCCTCTGGTCACACCAAGCATAAGTGCTGTGTACTTTTCTGCCTGTGCCACTTTGCTGACACGGTTCGGACTGGCCTCTGCCAGTTCAGGGCCCAGTATGAGGGGCACCTCATCAGTGAGGTCTTCATTTTGCTCCCAACAAGAATAATCTTACCTTTTTCTGCATCCCAGAAACACTTTTCTTTCTTTTTTATCTCACTTAGGTAATATCACTTCATTTAGGTAACTTATCACCATGTCATTGGTTGGTAATCATTTCCATAGGTTATTGATAAAGTTGGAGCCTTTTTGCAACCTTGTTTGGTATCAGATTCTCCTTTGGGTTAGGGAACCTTTCTTATCATATCCATTTCCTGAAGAGTGTTAGTGCTAAAGAGGTAACTGTCAGAAGAAATATTCAAGATTGGTGAGGGAATTTCTATTTTTTCCTCCCATGGTCAGTTTTTCCTGTTCCTTCCCTTCCTCCTCTTCCCGGTCCCCCCGTTTACCTTTCCTCTTTCTTCCTTCTCAGAGAGCTTTGTCAAGATTTCAAGTATGGATTAAGATGAAATTATGATGAAGCGAGAGGTGGGTTGCTTCCATTTTTGTGCTTCTGGAAACCAACCAACCGTGTTTCTTTCTTTTTAGTTTCAGATTCCGACAATGTCTCATCCGTCTTGGCTGCCACCCAAAAGTACTGGTGAGCCTCTTGGCCATGTGCCTGCACGGATGGAGACCACCCATTCCTTTGGGACTCCCAGCATTTCAGTGTCCACACAACAACCACCCAAGAAGTTTGCACCAGTAGTTGCTCCAAAGCCCAAGTACAACCCATACAAACCTGGAGGTGAAGGTAAGTGGGGGGATTTTAGAGTTGGGTGCCCAAAGTGGGAGAGTTCAGTATAATAAGAGTGACCCATCTGTCCAGTGTTGTGTCGGAAAAAGGTTAGCTCAAGAATTCGCTGTGCTTATTGTAGTTAATAGACTGTCAAACGTTAAAAAGCATCTAGAAACTATCAAAGCGAACCTTTCTTTTAGGGACATAGAGAGTGAGACCTCTTAGGGGTTATCTGGCTGTGGTTATACAGTGAGTTTGGTCTAGAGCCAAAACTAGAACCTTGGTCTCTTCATTCGTAGCCCAGTGCCCTTCTACCGTGTCATCCTTTCACCTCATCTCATGTAGAGATGTGTCTGCTACCCAGCTGCCCCTCCCTCTTGACATGGGACAAGTGGCCCCATATGGTGCCAGGCAGTGGTCTGATTGGAAACCCATATGAAGGTACCTCACTGGAATTGTTTAACCTTCGTTGGCTATCTTTCCTCCCCTAGACTACTTAGGATAAAGTTGTCCAGAGAGCTCTGTGAGATCTGCGTTTGTAGAAGGTCATAGGCAAATGTGAATGAAACCTAGTTCTAGAGGTTGTAATGGCAGTCCATTCGGTTTTGATCAGGTAGAGTTTGATGATCCACACGAGCTCAGCATCTCAGGTGCATAGGTCCATGCACATTCACACACTGAACCTCTCAGACAGTGCAGGGTGCTGTACTCTTTGCTGGAAGAGTTTCCATATTTTTACCAGTCAATGTTAGCAGCTCATCCAAACCCATGAAATAATGACTTATAACTGACAAGCAGAAGAACGTTCCATTTATGGGAGCTGAGAGAGAGGAGACCTGAAAGGAGAGTCAGTACCCCTTTCTCTGTTTTCTCCCTCATCCCACCACCACTTAGAAAAATGACCTTACGTTACCCTCTCCATGATGTTTCTTACTGCTTCTTGGGTGACGGGAGTGTGTTTCAGCAAGTTTCCATAAGACTGTGTCACTCCCTGTCGTATGGTGCAGTCTTTCTCTTTGCCTCCTAGTCCTCTACCTGTCCCCAGCAAACACTTAATTAGTCTGTTGGTATTGTAAATAGAGTTTAATGACTTCTGGAGTCAGAAGCCTAGTCCAGATATCCAGCTTGTGTGAGATGGCTGGACGCTCCGGCAGGTGGTAGGAAGGTCAGGCATCAGCATGCACTCCTGGGCTGTGGCCATGGATTTTTTGTTCTGGGAGGAGCAACAATAAGACCATCAGAGTGCTACCCTGGAAAAACAGTATGTGACGCTCTTGGTGTTCTACTAATCTCTATGGCAGTGCCTGAGTTTTATAGGCTTTGAAGGAGGCTCCATGTCTGCTCCCAGACTTAGTGGAACTGGTTGTCTTTGTTCTTTTTAGTGGTTGCAGGACACAGGGCTGGAATTTGGAAGAGAATCCCTCCTCATCGGGACAGGAGGGGCCATATGTTGGCTTCCTTATTTGCTTTCTCTGCATTTCCCCTGTTTGCTTACTGGGGGACTATTGTTTTGTCCCCTCATTTTGGGGGAGAACTGAAATAGACTTCTCTCTCACATGAAAGGACTAAGATAGACTCCCTCCTGGAGTAGGAGGCAAACTTGTGAGGAAGCCTTGGTAAGTATGATAACTGACACACACCTGAGGGGCAGGGGAGGACGGCAGGTCCCATATTAAGTAGGCGAATACATGGCATATGTGAGAGGGAGGAGGGAAGCAGGTAGTGGTCTCCCTTCAGATCCCTCCACACCCAATGCTATGTGTGGCAGTGGGTTGGCCCCTTGGGTGACTCTGTGCACTTATGATGCCCCACTCCCTTTGCTGTAGTCTGCGAGGTTCGTTCTCTGTCTGTCTAGTGCTCTGGGGACACTGGCATCCTCTCCAGAACACGGCAGCTCAGGACCGTGTGCTCTTTCTCAACATACCACCCCCACCTCTTTTGTCCCCGGTCAAAATCCTACTTGTATCACCTTCTCCAGAATGACCAGACATAGCCTAGATCAGAGGAAACCACTCCCATCCCTGGGAGTGGGATGTTTCCATGTACCTCTGGTTCTGTGAGCCTCACCTTTCTGCTTTTTTTTTTTTTTTCTCCGTTATTCCTCCTGCTTTTGCTCTGCCCCTATTCAGCATGTAGGCTGTACGAGATGCTGCGCTTCTCCGTGATCGTTTTATGGCTTTCTCGTGTTACCCTGTGAGGAAAGAGTTTTTCTCACATGGAAAACCGGAAATGGGAATATGGAGAGGCGAGGTAGTTTTGTGGCTGTTCAGTGTCTGAAGCGCGGCCTTTGTCCTTCCCCAGGTGCTAAACTTGCTTTGCCCTTCTCTTCTTGGCATAGGTGGCTCTCGGGCCCCATGTGATGGTGATACTTCCTTGTAAGAATGTAAGCTTTGTTTCCCCATTTAAGCAACAAGACATGGTTTCTCCCTCGTCCTTATGTTCCTCTTGGCTCCTATTATGCTACTGTGTTTTTAGTAGGAATGATTGTGTATGGTCAAATGTATGTCTGTATGTTCTTATGTGTGTATATATTTGGATGGATGGCGGATGGCTGGATGGGTGAGTACTCGGCTCAGTAATTCTTTTCTTGCAGTAAACAGTTTGGAATATGGCATCCTCATTTCAAGCAACTCAGTCTCATTTAATTTCTGAAGTCTTGATTCTTTCTTGCACTGCTGCCAATCTCGCTCTCTCTCTCTCTCTCTCTTTTTTTTAATATAACCTTTTTTGAATACGTGAAAGAAGAAATTTCCCTTGCATATATACATTTTAAAGATAAATATGGGCAAGGTTCATGGATATTCAGACTTTGTTTTTAAATGAAGCTGCATCTCGTCATCTGCTCTGTATTATGACATGATATTTGTTGGAAGTGTGAGATTTGCTTTACTTTCTATTTAATTGAAATGTTAGTGCATTCTCTGTGACTGTAAACATTTTTATAATTTATGTTATTTTTTTGTCTAAATTTTTATACATTTTTAAAGTTTATATCCATTTTCCTTTTTTTTTTTTTTTTTTTTTTGTTTTTTTGGTTTTTGTTTTTGTTCATTTAGAATGCTCTGTAACATTAGTGAAACCCCCAGATAGTAGGTAAGACAGTTTTGTTTTGTTTTTTAATTTTTTTTTTAATGTTTATTTTTGAGACAGAGAGACAAAGCATGAATGGGGGAGGGTCAGAGAGAGGGAGACACAGAATTTGAAACAGGCTCCAGGCTCTGAGCTGTCAGCACAGAGCCCGACGTGGGGCTCCAACTCACAGACCGCGAGATCATGACCTGGGCCGAAGTCGGCCGCTTAACCGACTGAGCCACCCAGGCGGCCCAAGACAGTTTTTACCTACAGGGTGAATTGAAGATGCCGGGGTCTTGTGCCTCAGCTCACCTATTTTCTCCCTTTGGTACATACTCTCCCTCAATTTGTAGCCCATAAAGTCTTTTCATTCATAGCTTAATTCAGAGCCTGACCTCTAAGAAGCTTAACTGCAAAGACAGAAAGTTAGAATTAATAGAAAGCATACAGTTGGCCCTTTACTGGTGTGAATGTGGGAAATGCAGGGCAGGGGGTATAAGTTGTTTGCACAGAGGTGTGTGGCCTGCTCAGGGCTGAGCTCAGGTCCCCTCTGTCTGAGTCTAGACTTATCCAGGACCTCTTAACTATATTCTGGAGAGGACTCTTTCTCACTCCACCATAACCTCTTTATCCATCTTGTAGAATTCTTATCACAATTCTTATCACAAGCCTTCCAACAGACTTACTTGTAAATGAGCCTGTCTCCTTCAGTGTACTTAAGCTTTTGGAGACAGGGACTGCGTGACTCATGCCTTTGCTCCCAATGGCACCAGCGGCACCCCTGCCACATAGTAGGAGCTCTGTAATGTTTGGGGTGGTGGTTAGGCCACAGCAATATAAACCTGCTTCTTCAGGCACAGATCCCAGCTTCATAGCTACCCATCAGGCATGCCAGTTCTAGAGCCCGACCCACCTGTTTGAATTACTTTTACCCTCCTATACCCATTCCTTGAGCCTTTTAGTCCAGGAGTTGTTGAGCCACTGCCACCTGGAAGTTTTCCATTCCATTTCCCCACCTTAGTTTTATGTCTGCAATCTCTGGGGTTTGCTTTCTCATTTTTAAACTCGGGCTGAGAATGGCCAAGTACCCACATGTTTTCCATATCAGCTTATATTTATGTGATCCCGTATGTCATGATTTTCTTTAAAAAATATTATTTATTTAAGTCATCCCGGCACCCGCTGTAGGGTTCAGGTCCATGACCCCAAGATCAAAAGTCGTCTGCTCCATCGACAGACCCAGCCAGGTGCCCCAACTCTCATAATTCGTTTATAATGAATTCTGCTAATGACCTTTCTCTAAAGAGCTTTGGCACACTTAAAAGTGGGGTATTGTTTTTCCCAGTTAGTAGCTCTTTAGGCCTTCAGATCCTCATATTTTGCTCATTGTTCTCAAACTTTCCACTGATCTTTTAACAACTTGTGTTCCTTCTGTCCTCTTTGAATGACCCTGCGTTTCCAAATGCCTTTTCATGTTTAATACAGTAGCCTTCATATTTTTTTTTATTAAGTTTTGCCTTCTTACAAAGTTTATCCTGTTAAATGTCCACATCATTTTTTGTGGAATGTTGCTATGTATGTATGATTTTGTCTCATCATCTTCTATTTTAGACTGATGAGAACAAGATAATGCATTTTTTTTTTTTCTGGTCTCGAAAGTAGTAGCCAGTGATTATCTTTATACTGTAATCTGGATCTTCTGTCTGCTCCAAATTTGCAAAATAAATAAATAAACAAACAAACAAACAAACAAACAAACAAAACCAAGAACACAAAGCCTTAGACTATGATGGCAGAACAGGGTATTGATCTTTCTTTTTCTGTTTTTGGTAGATACCAAAGTAATTGAGCTTTCCCACTTTACTAATATGTTATTTTCTTGAGATGGTTCTGAAATTTTCCTGTAATTGCAACTCTGGGAATTGGAAAACAAACGCGCGCGT